TATATATATATATATATATATATATATATATATATATATATATATATATATATATATATATATATATATATATATATATATATATATATATATATATATATATATATATATATATATATATATATATATATATATATATATATATATATATATATATATATATATATATATATATATACGAACCCACGGCACACAAGCCTATGACTGTGACCGGGGAACGCTAACCGCTGGACCACCAGGATACTAAAAGCAGTCCTAGACTTTGTTATATTTTACACAAAGCCTGTTCAACGAGCTTATGGCGCCGTGAACCTCTAATGGGGACCACCCGTATCACTTAGGTGGTCAGAGTAACGTTTTACCAAATCCGGCTTCGAAACACGAGGATCCATATATATTTCATTAGCCCAATAAAGCACGCGGACTTCTACATACAATCAACATATGCTAATAATAGTTAGAAAAATTACGTAACCATCACGGTATCGACGGTTTCTTTATCGACGGCCGTCTACAGAACGTAACCCCCGTCGATAAAGAGGGAGTACTGTACTGTACAATATTGACTAATTCACTAGATAACGTACACAACTAATGGTTGGTAAAACTTGTCAAGTAAGTAAGTGTCAAGTCTGTCAGTATGAGTAGCATGTGTGAGGGCTTGTGTCCCCCATCATAGGAGTCCATTTTCTCTCGCTTCAGGACGCCTGAGTCCTCCGTTTCTCTCAATCTTAGAGTGCACCAGAGACTTCGTTATTCCTTAGTAATGACATAGAATTTGAAATTGCAACCCCAATTGCAACTGGGGTTGCAATTGTTGAGGCAACTAGATATGTCTGATTACAGCAAATGTGTTATTGTCAATTTGTAGGTGAAAGATTTTATCCTCAATAGATGTAGGTTAACATTACACCTGGAGGCAAATGCTTACTAAAGCCTAAGGAAGGAAGGATATTCCTTTAACACATAATATCTGATCAGTATGGGGAGGATCATCTTGTCTCCATCAGGGGGTCGTGGAGTGGCGGTCCAGCAGGCGTCATGGAAGTGTTGTGTTTTTTTGGGGGGGGGAGGGGGGCACGGACGTATATGCGATCGGACGTTGTTCGGTTGGACATTAACCGGCGCATGACTGTAATATCCTAAACAAGGTATAATGAGGAGATGGCACATAATTGTGTAGCTGAGTCGCCGACTTGCCACCCAGTAGCACTCAGAGCAGGTGGGGCTAAGTTGTGACTATGTTATTGTTCATCTCCTTATTTCAGGTAGATATACTTATTTTTTTTCTTACTCTGTAACCCGTACAGCATCAACGGCGTAACAGTTACGCCGATATACTTTTGAGATAATTGAATAAGTACTGTAAATCTATACTTGTAATGCAAAAGTGAAACCAAATAAAAAATAAATAATTATAAAATCATACAAAAAAAATACGTACTGGTGAAAATTATGAAAATGAGTGTAAATAATACGAAAAAGGATAAATACATTTATGTTCCGAGATCAAGATAGACGATAAGTAAAGAAAAAATAGCTATAGACAGTGAAAATTTACGGTAATTAGCATAATTCCACTTTCATTCGATGAAAAACGTCAACACCCGTAAAACTGCACAGGTTCTACGAGTAAACTTTCAACGCCGTGAAACGTTCACCCATGGGCGTAACTACACCTTCCATGGTCCGGTGAGTTGATAAATGATGTTTTTCCTTCATTATATGATAGTATAAGTCCATTTCAGCCAAAATCCAAAGTAAAAAAATTGCCGACGCCAGCCGAACATAATTATATTAATTATCTTAGCTGATGCCGTACGGGTTAACAAACAATCACAATTGTTCATATAGAATGTGCAAACAAAATTAGTAAAATAAGTATCATATGGTCAGAAACATAAAAGGACCAAACAGTTCTTACGTGACCGAAAGAGCAGAAAGGGCGCGAGGAGCTGCATGGGGGATCTCTTCAATTGTTCTCTGTCTTGTGTTCCGTGAAATGACTGCCAAAAGTCAACGTAGAATTTTTTTTCTTATTTTATTTATTACCGGTATTATTATTTTTATTTATTCCGCATTTACATACTGGTACAGTATACACTCGACACAGTTCATCCTGGCAGTCACCAAGAAGATTCATGAAACATGTGTGGTTGCAGCCTGTATGCCGTAACATCAATAGAGGGGAAAGAGTGTGCAGCTGGCTAAAGTCACTGCCTCAATATAGACCTTAACTTTCCACACATACACACCCATGCTCTTCACATTTTTCAGCATAATTTTATAGTACTGTACTGTACTGTACTGTACTGTACTGTACTGTACTGTACTGTACTATACTGCACTGCACTGCACTGTACAGTGGGGTATGCTATAACGAACGGATCCTACTACGAATATTCCTATAACGAACGATTTTACCTATAAAATTGAGAATGCTATAACGAACGCAACTCCTACAACGAACGCGGATGAATACGGGACTATTTCGCCTGGCGCATGAATATTGTTGTACCGCGACCCACAACAAGAGCGTCAGGCGCCATCTTTGTCTCATTGTGTAGCCAGTGCACCAGTGTTATTGTTAAAATTTCGTCTTTTAATGTGGAAATTCGCGTTATTTGTATAACTATTTTGTTGTACAAGTATACAATTGTAACAATGAATCGTCCAAAGCGAGTGAGAAAGCTAATAACCCTTGAAACTAAGAAAGAAATTATAAAGAAACGTGAGAATGGAAGAAGCATTGCGAAACTTAGTGATGAATATGGGATGGCTAAATCGACTATATGTACGATTTTGAAGAATAAAGGGGAGTTAAAAACAGTGCAAGTGGCTAAGGGAATCTTTAGACTTAGCAAAGCAAGGTGTAATGTGATTGAAGAGATGGAAAATTTACTCTTAGTGTGGATAAAGGAGAAAGAAATGGCAGGTGGTAACATTAGTGAAGCTATAATTTGTGAGAAGGCTAAACAATTGTTTGAGGACCTTAAAGCCAAGACTCCCAGTGGAAGTGATAGTGCTGTGCCAGTGTTTAGGGGTACCTGCATGCTGAATAACACTAAGGTAAGCTAAAGTACCGTATTTTTTACATTTTCCACAGAATTTTTTCAGTGTTAAGTGGTTGTATTTGGGGGCCTGGAACGGATTAATCCTATAATGAACGAATGCTATAACGAACGCGGTTCTGGAACCAATTACGTTCGTTATAGCATACCCCACTGTACAGTGGTCCCTCGGTTAACGAACACAAATCATTCCAGAAGGTCGTTCGTTAACCGAAAATTTCGTTAACCTAAACCATTGTTTAGATGGGATTTTGGGTAATTGGTTCCAGCTCACCGAAAATTACAAAGTAAGAATAAATGCAGTAAAGTACACTTACTTTGAGGTGTGTATGTAGAAGGCTCCTGGTTGATGATGATGATGATGGGAATTAGAAGTGGGGGTGGAGGAGAGAAATCACCCCATGCTTCATGCCGTCATTTCACCCATAAAATTTTAAGTTCACTAGGTGTAATTCAAGATTATTTTCTTTAAATCAACACTGCACTATATATTGTCAATATGTAAAATAAATTTCAGAATGACCAATAATTGTACTGTAAAAATGTAAAAATAGTTTATGTTTAAGAGAGTCTCAAGCAAGATGTTACCTCTACTGACCAGAGATAGAAACTGACGCCTGTTTGGTGAGTTGTGTGGCTGTTTGGCGCACTAAAAACTAGTTTCCTGTACTTCAATTATGTTAAATAATTGTTAAAATGACTAAAAATTTTAATATAAAACTTGGAAAATTATCAAATAGTAAAACATTCTTAATATTTACTCAAATGGGAGCGAATTTAAGCCATAGAACCAATTACTGTATTGGCGGACTAATATTCCAGCTGGTGAGCAAGCAAAAACATGTTGAGAGGAATTCTTAAGGAATTCTTCAATCGAACTTTTTTCGTTAACCGAATTGAATATTCTTATGGAAGGTAATTCGTTAACCGAAATTTCGTTAACCGAGGAGTTCGTTAGCCAAGGGACCACTGTACTGTACTGTACTGTACTGCATACAGTACACAATAGTACAATATTATCTTTATTTTTAAGCCACATACAATATTGTGATGATGTGCACTTGGAGCACACAATCCCCAGTTTTTCCGAATTCCCTTCCGAATTTTTCCCAGTGAGTTGAAGATCGTTACACCGAAAATTGCAAATCGTTAAACAACAAAGTGTGTTAAAAATTTTAAATCACTAAAATGAAATATCACTAAGTAAACGATTGAAAAATTAGATACCTGTATCTACCTGAAATTATTTGATGAAAAAGCGGGTTTTTGTAACCATAACATAGGTCACAGCTAACTCCTGCACACATAAGAAATGTTTATTCCCTTTATGTTTTTGACCTTATATATTTTTTTTGCGCATTCTGAATGAAAGACTGTGTGTGCATATACTGTATAATAAACAGTAACAGTAAATAGCAACAACAACAAAAATAACCACCTTGAATGCTAACTCTGCCTCTTTAGGACCTCAAGAACGGAACCTATTTTTCCCCATAAGTTATTAATATCGACATACGATCGATCATCTTACAAAGGCTTTTCGATAACCCTAACCCCATCATATAAAGGTCAACACCTATACTGATTGAAAAATGGATAACGGCTTTTACATGCACACCCTTTTCGTAAAATTTATTTTCAATCTTTGACAAGAGAGAGCATCCAACAAAATGTTTGTCTCACGTTCCCCACAATCTTAATCGGACCCTGGGGAAAATTTAAGCCAAAAGCCTTCTTAACCAAACCTGATGGTGAAGCAGTGTTAATTAATTTTTGATACATGTGCTAAAAGTTAATGAAAATTAAATGCATCTAATTCACTTCTATAGTTTACATAATGATGGATGAATAGATTTGGGGAAGCAACCCTAGTTCCGTTCTAATTTCCCTGTACTGTAGAGATCACAAATATTTTTAACACTTGCTCACCTTGCTTGGCAGATGGTGCCAAACCTGGAATACCCATATCAGCTGCCTGCTGGCGTGCCTTCATAGCTGCCACATCAGTTGGTGCAAGACCTACAGGGTGGTCTGGTCTATTTTTTGCCCATTGTTTTCCTTTACTTTCATACCTGAAATAATAAGTGGATAGGATTATAAACTAGTATTAAAGGATTTTTATATTTACTAATTTACAAACATGATGCATTATTACTGCAATTACTGTATCCCCAAATCCTGCTTTATTGCAAATGGCTAAGGCTGAGCAACCCATGAATCCCTCCTGGCAATACTCACAGCATCTTGGTGTCTTATTCAGTGGCATAACCATTATTCTTTTAAGTACAGTGATCCCTCGGTTAACGAGATTTCGGTTAACGATTTACCTTCTATAAGATTCTTAACTTCGGTTAACGAGCAATCCCTCGATTAACGAGTTTTTTACAAGCCGACCTCAACATGTTTTCGCTTGCATTTGGCGGTCCACCAGCTGTAGTATTAGTCCGCCAATACAGTAATCAGTCTTAGGGCTTAAATTCCATACTATTTTAGTAAATATCAAAAAGTTTATGCTATTCAATAATTTTAAAAGTTTAATATTAAAATTTTTTAGTGATTTTAACAATTATTGAACATAATTGCAGGTAAAGAAACTAGTTTCTGGCACGCCATCCAGCATGTTAACACACAAACAGGCGTTAGTCTCTCTCTCTCTTTTCAGTGGAGGTAACATATTGCTTGAGACTCTCTTCAACTAAATGCTTTTTTTATGTGTTTCCAAGCAAATTATTGGTCATTTTGAAATTTATTTTACATATTGACAATATATAATGCAGTGCAGTGTTGATTTAAAGAAAATAATCTTGAATTACACCAAGAGAACTAAAATTTTATGGGTGAAATAGCACCATGGGGTCACTTCTCTTCCACCCCAATGCCTTCTCTTCTCCCTTCTCCTCCACCCCCATTCTAATTCCCATCATAATCCAGGAGCCTTCTACATACACACCTCAAAGTAAGTGTACTTTTCTACCTTTCTTGTTGAATTTAGGCAATTTTCGGTGAGCTGGAACCAATTACCTAAAAACCCATTGAAACAATGGTTTCAGTTAACGAGTTTTTCGGTTAACGAGCAACCTGCTGGAACGGATTGTGCTCGTTAACCGAGGGACCACTGTACAGTACAGTAATTTAACTGCTGTAAAACGAGCTACCCACCCAGTTACATCTTGGGCGAAAAAAGGTATCCTTTTATACAGTACAGTGGTTGTCTCTAATGGGTGACGGGTAAATTAAGTTAAGAGTTTCACTCTCAGTGTGATCCCACATCAAGAACTAAATATGTGGAGTAACTCATACTTCTAATGGGTCTCACTTCTAACCCATAAGAAGTGAGAGGGTATGTGGGTCAATCACCTCAGCCTTCAGCCACAAAAAGGGATCTCAGGATTAAATCCTTCATTTATGGCCATATGATCCTTGATAAGTCAACCATGATTTGTAATAAACCAGCTAATATAGGCAGCTAGAAGATAATATAATAAGATGCTTAGGCTTTCTATGCCACAAATAAAAAATAAACTTTTTTTTTTCTCAAACACCAAGCAATTTATGTTGGCAAATCCTCCTTAACGTCACTAGAGATAAAGGTCATAGCCAAATACAGCACTATGCCCCTCATTGTAGAACTGAATTAGAAAACATTCCCATAAGAAAAGCCACGAGTATATTTCTTTTTTATTTGCTACTGATTATGTCATTGTACTGATTTTATCTTCCTTTACAGTGATATGTCTGTAAGATGGAACATGATTGTTAGGAAGAGTTGTGCCACCTCCTTGCAAGGAAATTTGTAAAATGTCTTTTATGGTTTACAAAATAAGTGAATATACAGTATACAAGTTTGATTATTTATTGAAATTAATGTGTTTCTATTGTCTGTTTTGTTTGGTTTCACCCAAACAAAACACCCAAACAAATTCTTATCTTATAAGAATTCCAGCAATGTAAATTATATTCTTCCTGGTCACTTCTATGACACTGTATAAGCAAAAAACATAAACTCAAGCTAAATGACATAAATAAACAAAAAAATACTTCACTTCAATCCCCTCCCTTCCTCCCCCCCATCTTCTCAGCCCGGGTTTGGTGTTTTAGGCTTAAAGTTTTTATCTTATACTGTATAATGTCACAGAATAAAGTTAGGAGAATATAATTTGTATTGCTAGAATCCTTGCAAGACAGCGGAAATTTTGAATGTAAACATCATATATTTTGCACGAGATAAAAATTTTTGATCTTTGTACTAAAATTCTTAAATTAGAACTAAAATTTGTTGTGGTTAACGAACGGTTCGGTTAACGAATTACCTTCCATAAGAATCTTCAATTCGGTTAATGAACAAAAATTTGATTAACGAAATCCTTAAGAACACCACCGAAGGGTCAAGACGTACCTGGCGCTCCTCTCGGAGCAGCCAGGTCAACTGTTAAGTTGGCCCATACCAACCCCCTCCCCTGAACCCTCCTCCCCACCGGAATATCAACAAGTTCTCGCCAGAAGTTACAATTTCATTTAGGAAAGGAACGGAACCAGTGTTAAACAGAGGTGAACAGTGGAGAACAGTGCTTAAGTCAGTGAGAACAACTCAACAGTAACAGTCGTACCCAAGTTAACCTTCACACAGTGAGGTCCCAGGTACCCAGTGATAACGGCCCGTGAGACCCAACAACAACCAGCGATGTGTTAATCCGTCTATGATAGGAAGGCCTAAGACCAAACCTCACTCATATAACACCATCTGTGAGGGAATTACTACACCACATGTCCCTCATAACACCATATGTGAGGGAATTACTACACCACGTCAAGTCCCTCATCACACCATCTGTGAGGGAATTACTCCACCATGTGAGGTCCCTCATAACACCATCTGTGAGGGAATTACTACACCACGTCAGGCCCCTCATAACACCATCTGTCAGGGAATTACTACACCACGTGATGCCCCTCATAACACCATCTGTGAGGGAGTTACTACACCACGTGAGGCCCCTCATAACACCATCTGTGAGGGAGTTACTACACCACGTGAGGTCCCTCATAACACCATCTGTGAGGTAATTACTACACCACGTGAGGTCCCTCATAACACCATCTGTGAGGGAATTACTACACCACGTGAGGCCCCTCATAACCCCATCTGCGAGGGAATTACTACACCACGCCAGGTCCCTCATAACACCATCTGAGGGAACTACTACACCACGTGAGTTCCTCCTAACACCATCTGGGAGGGAGTTACTACACTACGAGTTTGCTGTTCAACACCTACATTAATCTGTATGTTCACTGTATGTTCCTTTACCTTTCTATAATGAAGGCTTTTGTTAAACCACCAATGTATGTAATAAGTCATTTATGTCCAATGTATATTTTCAGTCTTCGGGCTGCAGAATTTTTTCAATAAACCGTTAATTATTATTATTATTATTATTATTTTGTTGTGAGCATCAGCTGATCAGCTGATGGGCTAGTCTGCCAATTCAGTAATCTGTTCTATGTTTACATTCGTTTCCAGTGGGGTAAATACCAATAAAGTTGTGCTCTTTAATATTTTTGCAATTTTTATATTAAAATTATTCGTCATTTTAACATTTATTTAACAGTTGGGCTCTGTTGACAGTGGAGTGAGCATCTATTTTGTTGGTTCTTGAATATTTTAGCATTTTTCATTGAAATTTTTGGTCATTCTGAAATTGAGTTAACATATTGATAATATATAGCGCAGTGTTGATTTAAAGGAAATAATCTTGAATTGCACCTAGTGAACTTAAAATTTTATTGGTGAAATGACGGCATCAAGTATGTATGTATGTATGTATGTATGTATGTATGTATGTATATATATATATATATATATATATATATATATATATATATATATATATATATATATATATATATATATATATATATATATATATATATATATATCTACAGATTTTTATCGGCGGTTTGATTA